TGCTGTTTTACAGCAGGTTCCTGTTCTGCAGCACATAAAACACTCAGAAATACAGCATCACAATCACATCATTWTACACCATAGACACAAAGACAAACAAACATATTTTTAATTTCATTGTGTTATTTTTCAGGACTGACACACACGCCTTAAAAATCTGCTTTTATTTTGAAATTGGGACGTAAGAGTCAGTACCGTAATATTACGTAATGACGCGCACAATAAAAAAAAGCCTGGCCGTGGCTCTCTGGTCTAATGACTAATTTGTGGTTCTTTTAGGTGACTTACGGTTCATCGCGGCTGTGGGTCATAGGGGAGTGACGTCACGTCCATAGCGACACAATGAGCCAGCGTTGTAAATAACACTTGTTTCTGTATTTCACAGCATAATTTAGTTTCTTTCACTGCGGTGTTGACGAGACGCTTATATTCTGGCTCCAAGAAACAAACCAACTAAGGAGCCAACAACAAAGAATATAATCTTTTATTGTTGTGAGTCTGCAGCATCATCTGGCTGCTAGCTAAGCTGCTATTTATAGACCCGTTCAACCAGCTGCATTATCATGGACTTTCCTTTTGATATCAATCAGTTGTTTTCTGAGAGGATCTCTGTTTTGGACCAGAATCTCGTTGCGAGCTGGAGATCAACCGGAAGGTAAAAAAAATAAAAAAGTGCCGGTGGTTTGTGTGCGCGTGCGTGTGTGACTAAAGATACACAATCAAACATGCGTGTGTTCACACTGGACAACATTGTCCAAGGACCTCAAACTGATGCTTGAAAGTACACCTGTCATAATGTTACAGGAGTAAAAGTAATAACGTATTTATTGTACTTAAGAATCAAAAGTAAATTAATTAATAATTACATTTATTAATTACAGTTATTAATAATTAGATGGATAATTACAAATAAAAGTAAAAGTGAGCAGTGTGCCTCAATCATCTCTGCAGTGTCACAGGTGTGGTGCAGGTGTGCAGAGTTGTAAAGTAACTAAGTACAAATACTTTGTTACTGTACTTAAGTAGAGTTTTTGGGTATCTGTACTTGAGTAATTATTTTTCAACCTACTTTTTACTTCTATTTCTTACATTTTTAAAAAAGACAAGTAGAAAGTTGTTACTTTTATTTAATTTTTGCTTGTTTTTATTCCAGCTTGTTATTATAAAAAATAATTACTATCCATATAAACTGAGTGAATTTAACTGTGGTTGAATGAGAAGTATAAATATATAAAACTCTGATAGTGTATCAGTTTGTACACAAACAAATCCTGTCACACTCCAGCAGCACAGAATCATTCAAATAAAAGGACTGTACTTAAGAAGTATTTGTATTTCATGAATTATATTATTACATTTGGCCGCAGCCCTCAGATAGATTTTAATTTTGGGGAAAAGTTTTGTGCAGCCTTGATATATGTATATAAACTGAAACAGACTAGTGCATCCTAATTTTAACATCAAATCATTATTTAACAGTCATTTCTGCATTTTTTTGGGAGGTCGCCTCCTGATAAATGTCCATACAGAAAATCTAACTTCTCATTTTAAATCAATACTTTTACTTTCAATA